TAGCCTGTTTATCAATTTCTGAAGAATCTACCATGCTGCAGCATGTTCAGGGTGTATGTTCAAGTCATGGCAGATCTCATTGTCACTTTTGGGAAGCCCTTCAAGTGCAGGGAAGCTCGCTGGTGGTGACCACATTATTTTTCATGTAAGCTTGTCTGTGTTCAGTCTTACAAGCAGCCAGGGAACCATGTAGTGCAGCATTCCCCAGCCTGGTTCCTCCACAAGTGTCAGACCACAATTCCAAGATTCCTGACCACTGGCAATGTTTGCTGGAGCTGATGGGAGTCGAAGGTACCTTCCAGAAAACATCTGGAAGGTACCAGACTGGTGAATTTTGGTTTAGCAGGTGAAGGTTAAAGATGTTTTGAAGGGGAAACTGACCAGCATGGGGTCAAAGAGACACCATTAGGTTAAGATGTTGCTTCAGCAGTGGCTAAGATACAACAGAGCAGCTTTAGAACTAACTGTACTGTCCCACCTTGTTGTCTGTCTTCTTATCCTTATCTGGAGCCAGAATGCTCTTGATGCATCTGAGCAGAGTAAATCTGGTAAGGATAAATTCATTCCTCGGTACCTGCAGCCTCCCCAGGTGGGATATTCTCAAGGCAGTATCTTTTGGAAGGCTACCAGGTGCCTAGCTGCTCCAGAGAATAAAACCTCAGCCCCTTTCAAGATAAGTCCAATCTTCTCAAACTGTCTGAAAAACCTTCACTGGTATTGTGTGTCTTTTGAAATGCTGAAAACATCTGGGCTCAATATTTTAGTCCAACACTACTTCACATTATAGATCAATTTCATAGAGCCACTTTGAACCAAAAACTTATAAAAGTTAATATTTTACTCACACACAGAAGGAATAATTTACTTTAAAGAAGTGATTTAAAACCTGACACAGTACAGAAACTTCTATATATCTTTCTTTTAGAAAACCTGAAACTGCCTTTTAGTTTTACTTTGTGCCGTTGGGAATAGTTTATTTCATCAGGATTGCATTGTGGCTGCACAGGGTGTTATTTTTCTTACAGTCTGTGGCAATAACCCCAATGCAAAAATCAACAAACATCCAGATTTTATTAGGCTGTTTAAAATGAATGCTATCATTATACTTCTAAGAAATGTAATTGTGTCTCCAGGGGTGCAGCTTACAGGCTAGTTAAATAACAACACTTTTCATTACAAATTATAATGTATGTACTTAAGCAAAGTTGGGATTAAATGGTTTATCTCTAGCTAATTGCCTTTCTCTGACCCACTGCCTTTGTCAGCTAATTACACTAGCTTTTATAAGGATTAATATATTTATGCAAAATTGAAAAATAGGGCAGATGTAAATAATATCAGGGGACCTATGTTTTATGCTCTTTTGATGTATAAGGAAAGAACACTGTTGTTCATTGCTTAGAGAGCTTTTGCTCTTGGGTCGTATAGAAATTAATTGGTTAAATCAAAACACGCCAAGATAGTAATTTGCAGATTTAAAAATAGCTAATAGCTTGAGATATTGTCCTTAAAGAGATATGCTATTTCAAATGGTCAGCAACATATTGATCATATTTTACAATTCAATAGCTTACTGACCACAAGGGTTCCCAATATGTCTTATACTAAAATCTTAATGACATATGACAAAACAGTGCACTGGATCTTTGATGTCTCATATACCGAAGCCCATAATTTCCAGGTAACTATTCCTTCCTTTTTATCATCTATCTGTAGTGTTACATTTTTATGTTGCTTCTCAATTGTTATTTTAAATTCTTACCTGAAGAGAAATATAATAGTAGTAGCACAACAATAAAAGTATGCTTCTGTTTTGTACATATAATTTTTCTCACAGATATTTCATTACTTTGTCAAATTATGTGTACCCCTTTCCAGTTATTTTTCACCCCTCTTTGCTGAAGTTCACTTTGGATAACAGGATATCAAGCCATAAAGCAGGGATGGGCAACTTATGGCCCACCTGGTGTTTTGACCTACAGCTCCCATCAGGCCTATACAGCATTGTCAGGCTTACCCTGCTATAAGCAATAATGGCAGATATTGGTGATATCAGAAGAGTATTGTGCAAAAGTTCCAAGAATGTTGGGGGTTAGAAATGAAGAGATGTAGAGTGTTGCATGTAACAGCTATTCAAGGTTGGGTTGAGGTTAGCTGAAGAATGCTTAGACATTTTGGCTGAGAAGATAGGATTTGCCATTTGTATGCTGTGCCTCTTGAAGAAGAAAAGGAGAGGGGGAAAGGAGAAGAAAGCATTAATGTTTAAACAGAAAGCATTTGTCTGCAGCCACACAGAGGAATCAAGTCATCCCACTGTCAGTTTTTGATGTATTTTTTAATTAGGCTTGATAAGAATTGATCAATGCAAGGGCTATCTCTGAGTCAATCAGTCCCAAGGTTGGAATCAACCTGAAAAGTATCTAATGCTCTGGCCCTCAGTTCTGTGTAAAGAATATCCAGTCACTGATTGATAGTGCCAACAGAATAATTTAAATTTAATAAATTGTACAGAATTCTATGAACAAATCTCCATATTGGCAAGATTTATCATTCCAGGTCTCATTGTATACATAATATCATTGTATTATAAAAGTGTAGTATGTAATGTCAATGTGTTTTCTTCTCCCTGGTTTGCATTTTTGGTGTGATGATGTCAATCCCTTTTCCTGGAATTAGTTGATAAAAACAATACAGCCTGGAGAGACCCGAATGGAGGGCACTTGTCTTTTGTGGCACCTAAATTGGTCCTTCCTTTAGGACAGAACAACAAGAAGGCTTCCTGTAATTGGAAATTAATGTTTACTTGCCCTTACCATCTGTAGTTCCCTGTGTGATCCTAAAAGAACTACATGGAGACAAGTAGCATCTACTTCAGTAGAACTTGTATGCAATTCACAGTGTTGGGTTTCAATTTAACTGGACAGGTATATGTCCTCGAAAGCAATAGGACCAATGTCCAAGTAAAGGTGATTGAACTGCTTTAACTTTATTGGAAATGATGGGCAATGCTGTATTTGTAATGTTTCTATGCCTTTTCTATATAATAAAAAGAATAAATTTAGGGATACCATTTACTGATTCCTCATCGGCTTTTCTTGGTAGTCCAATGGTTTCTAATGATGTGGGATTTCAGCACTCTTTATAAATGGCTTATCACTCTTTATAAATGGGATGGTCTTCCCCGTGAGGGAAGTTTGAAGCGTTTGCTGCTTTCTGGTTTAGCAGGAATATGGCTAAAGACAAGAATGCTTAGTATCCTACACTGCAGTTGCAAATCCATGTGTTTTCTTGTGAAATGTCTGTGAGTGCAAGAGAAACTAGAAGTTCAGTTTCTGGAAGCTCTGCTCAGCCCCCATTCTAGAATAGAGCATTTTTGATCACTTTTGGAAATCCTAGTTTCTGCTGCTCAGGATCTCCATGTCTCTCAGGTGGGGACACTGCTGGATACTACTAGTTACAGTGGACATGGAAAAACCTTTGCTTCTTTACCAAAATATGAGAACTCACCCAGGAAAATCGACCAGCAACAGGTTCAAGACAGACAAAAGATGTCACATTATGATTTTAGGGAATTTACTGCCACAAGATGTGGTGATGGTCACTACTTTAAAAGAACTGGCAAATCCTTGGAAGCCAAATGCATCAGCTGCTCTTAGCCAGAATGGGTCAATGGAGGTAACCTCCCCATTCAGAGTGAGCGTGCTGGTGGATGCCAGTTCCCGTGAAGCACAAACAAGGGAGAACTATTGTTTTCATTTTCTTTTTAGAGTCATGTAGGGATTGTGGCATACTTTGAAGAATGTGTGTGTGGGGGGGGGGGGACAGCTTAACACTCGTCCTACTCAAAAAAAGACCTGCCCCCATTTTGAGTTTAAATTTCATTGAACTTAAAAGAGATCTTCCCAGCCTCACCTGCCAAAATATGAAAAGTATTTGGGGTGGGGGGGGGGGCAGGCGGGCAGGATCTTGCTTGTCACTACTTGTGGAAGGGAGCTGTTTGGCCATTCTGAGCCAGAGGGGAGTTGGTCTGATGGGGCAGAGTGGTTTCTTGTATTCCAAGGATTCAAGCCTAGCTTTCAGCATGACATACGTAAAAGGCAATTACTATTTCTGTCAAGAGCCGTTCCATTTCTGGAGTGTACTCAGCAGATTAAGCAACCTCAGGTCATTCTGAGTGTAGTTTCCTCTTAGGTACCTGTAAGGTGAAATCCTATGCAAGTTTTGACAGCAAAAAAATCCTGTAGCTCCCAGCTAAGCCAGCCCCTGGGAGCTGTAGACCATTTTTCGATCTAAACTCGAGTAGGAGTGCACCTTTAAGCATCTGAAAAAGGTTGATATTTCAAGGAGCAGCACTGTGGCAGATCAAGTTATTGGTGAGATTTCTTTTGGTAGAGAATGGGAAGAGATAAAATGAGAAGGCACTTTCCTTCTTGCTTTGTGTTTGGAAAACAAGGCACACAACATTGCTGTATCAGGCAACCTGGCTACCTCCGTATAATAATGCCGCCTGAGTACCCAGAAATGTTGCTGCTCTCTATAAACATTACAGAGAGCATCCTCTTTGAGAATTACCTTTGAGAAGGATTCAAGAACAGGGTCCTCTATAGGCTCCTATAGCACTGGGGGCACACAGTAGGGGCAGGAATAGCTGTGCAGTGGGCAGGAGCCCGGGGACGAGCAATTTGCCAAGGGTGTTCGTGCCAGGAGTAAGAGGCTGCCCTTTAAAATAAAAGCGCTGGTTGTAATGCGATCTTTGTGTGTAATGCAGCATTGTGAGGGAGGTATTTGATCCCATACTGGCTTCTAATAGCATTGCTCTACAGCTTCATCTCAGAGCAAGCAGGATGACACCCTGAGTGTTGTGTTGGATGTAAGCAAGATGTGTATTTGACCTTCTCTATCAAATACTCCGTATCAAACTGCTGAGCAAAGCCATATTCTGGACCAGTTTTGACAACATGGCTCGTGCCAATGAGCTCACAGAATGTTCCATTTTCCAGGCCAGGCACAGAGAACCGACGTCACGGTGGAAGGGAGCGAATGTCCAGCACCACTGAAAAGACGAACGTGTCCATGGAATCCAGCAAGGAGACCCGCTACTGTGCTGTGTGCAATGACTATGCCTCGGGCTACCATTATGGTGTTTGGTCCTGCGAAGGCTGCAAGGCCTTCTTCAAGAGAAGTATTCAAGGTAATTCTGTGGAAGTTTCACTCTAACAAAGGGCTTGTGAAACAGTATCAAGCTCTGCGATCATAACAATTATATACCTCATAATCCTAAATTTCATTTCTAAGGCTACTGCAGAGTTATTTTAAAAACAAATAAAAATATGGGGACAATTTGAATAACCTAACCATAGTAACCAAAATATATATCCTGCTTATTTGAATAGCCTGTAGAAACAAGCAAAACATCCTGCACTCAATATTTTAAATTATGTCATAAATCAATAGAACAAATTTAATTACACACCTCATTTTTTTCTAGTTTATTTTGCTTTATTGCTCATCTTGTCTCAGGTATTACTTTGTGTAATACTGTTTTCCCACTTACTTTATTTATTTAATTGATTTCTTTACTGTCAGATAGCTGGATCTCTTTTTGCCTTAACAACTGTAATAAATAAATAGACTACAGTATAGAGCAAAACAATAAACCATCATTAAATGACATAAAATTTTAAACCACATGCTTACAGTACCTAAAACGGCAATCGCTCCACCCTGTTATGCTATTTGGAGTTGGTTAATTCCTCAGCACTTACAGTGGTCTTAATCTGGAACCAGAAAGATAATAAAGTTGGTTCTGGGGAAAGCCTTGGTCAGGAGACTGTTGCAGATTTTTGGGGTTACCACAGAAAAGCCCCTCCTTCTTGTTGCCACCAGCCCAGTTTTCCATGGAGGGGACATTCAGAAGAAGACCTCAGATGTTGAGCATACTGTCTGAACACCTTGTGATTGACTGAGGTGCTCCATGAGGTTCCAAGCCTGTGGTTCCAAGCTGTGAATGGCTTTATATGTTAAAACCAACAGCTTGATTTGAGCTTGGAAGCATATAGGCAGCCAGTGCAAGTGGGCCAGAACAGGAATTATATGTTTGGACCATCAGGTCCAAGTTATTAGTCTGGCTACCACATTTTGCACAAGCTGTAGCTTCCAAACTGTCTTCAAGGGCAACCCCGATTGACTCCCAGTAATCTATTTTACTCCCAGAGCACAGATTACTGAAGCCAGGCTATCCCTGTCCAGACAGGAGTACAGTTGAGCTACCAAAGCTGGTAGAAGGCACTCCATGCCACTGATGCCCCCTATGCCTGAAATGAGGTTGGGCGCCCTCAGTCTGGTCAAAGGAACCACCCACCAACAGCATCTCAGTCCTGTCTGATTAAGCTTCAGGTTTTCTTTAGCCCTGATCCTGTCTATAATCGCAGCCAGGCATCTGTTTAGCACACTCACAGCTTCACCTGATGACAATGTAAAGGAGAAATAGAACTGTATGTCATCATACTTAATGTAGGATGATGCCTGATAAGTGTAAATTCTGTTTTGCAGCAAAACATGCTATCTATTTTAAAATCAAAATGCCTGTTTGAAAATCTCTCTCCCACCTTCCTGCAAATCTAAGACAGATTCCAAACATGCACCCTATGTTGCCTTTTTCTTTTCCACCCCATTTTCAACTCAAAATCCTAACTCAGGATTCTTCTGAAAATGAAAATTCAACACCACTTCCTTAAGAGAGCTAGTGTCACATAGTGGCTAAGAGATGGAGCAATGAACTGGATATTTCTGGTCCAAATCTCTATTTTGCCATGAACTCACAAGGTAGCCTTAGGCCAGCTACCCCGTCTCAGCCTCAGCTCTACACACAGGGTTTCTGCCAAGGTAAATCCCATCTCTCTGACCTTTTCATGTCAATAAATATGTGGACAGCAGTGATCCAGGATGCACTGTTTATTTGGAGTTCCAAAAGGCTTTTAGCAAAGTCCCCACCAAGGGCTGCTGGGCAAACTTAATGGCATAAGAGGATAAGTTCTCTTACAAATCAGTAACTGGTTAAAGAACAGAAAGGGAATAGGAAGACATGGCAAGTCCTCACAAAGGAGGGTTATAAAGTGTGGGGTCCCATTGAGATCTGTCTTAGGACCAATGTTTTCCCATTTATTCATAAAGGGGTGGACTTAGGAGGGGCTGTGAAGTGTTGCTGACAGCACCAAATTATTTAAAGTGGCTAACACAAAAGTCCAAGGAGCTCCAATCTGGGAGAAGGGGCATCAAAAAAGCAGCTGTGGTTCATTGTAACAAGTGTGAAGTGGTTCACATTGGAACAAAACCAAAACTCCACACACACACACATGCTGATGGGATCTGAACTAATGGTTGCTGAATTGTGTCGGGCAGCTTGGTGAAAATGTCGAGCTGGTGTGTGTCATCTATGAAGAAGGCAAACTCCATGTTGCATATAATTAGGAAAGGAATTGAAAATAAAAATGCCAAGATCATCATCCCTTTACACTGTTCTATAGTGTGACCACATTTAGAATATGATGTACAATTTTGGTCATTAATATTCATGCCCTTTCACAAACTTCCCCTCATGAAAGAAATAGTTAACTAGGTGTTCATTATGAAGCTTCTGAGGGACTTGGAAATCAATGGTTGAAAGTCAGAACTCTAGTTTTCAGTCTTGCATGCCATGAAATTTCTTCATATAGCTTTGCCCATCTTCCTACACTTTTTGTGACTGGCAGAGGAAATTGTTGCGACTGGCAAAGGAAATTACAATTGTTGTAAGTCATCCTGAGCCTATGCAAAGGATGGGATAGGAATGCTTTATATAAATGCATGAATAAATAAATAAAATGTACCAAGGAGGCATTTGATAATTTGATTGCAAAGAGTTGATGTTTGCAGCTATGGTATATGCAACATTTGAATAGTCCCGCTCCCAGACAGGAAGATACCAAAGTTTGTATTGAGCAATGAATTGGGCAAGAGTGCTCTTTTAGCTATATATTGGGTCACTTAGACCTGGTATTCACTTGCCAACATTCCCAGGCACAAACATCAAAGCAAACTGAACCACAGCCTGTTAGTTTACATTTCTGAACTCCCCATACTCAGAAACATGTGTAAACTTAGTTTCTTAGGATTTCTTAGCCTTCTTCTTAGGATTGTAGTAGAACTACATGGATTCCCCCCTCATTATAGTTTAGAATGTATGCAGAAATTTTCAGTGTATGAAGCACAATATAGTTCTTAGTTCAACTGTCCATGCAGCAACATTGTGATTTCACAGGGCTGAATGGATGCCAAAATCAGGGGTTAGTTAGGCGTGGCTTAGAAGATGAGAGGCATATATGGGACTCATTTGAACTCTGGCCTCCTAGATACTGACTGGCAAAGTCCAAAACAGCCTGCGAGTTCTTATAATCAAGTCCGGCATGTCAAAAAATGTTCTTGGTTGAAGCACAGTGGCTAAATTTGTTTCATCTGGAAATTAATGATAACAGGATTAGGGCAAACTCAGTATTATATGCAACCATGAATATATTTTCTTTTTAAAAAAGCTTCTTCCAAGAATCTGGCACTTTTGGGCAACAGTCCACCTTCTGGCCATTATCTGTTCAAAACCACTTTCTTCCCATTAGGCTGCTTTTCTCTCTACAGTTTGAGAAGATGCAATTTTGGCCAGAAGAGAATAGGTTGAGCCATCTTTATCTGCCTCCAGTTCCTCCACTACAGCCCCACAGACTTCTTTTAGGAGAAAAAAACTCTTGAGAAGTATACATATGGCTGCATGTAATATGAATTCTTCCCCTTCAGGTTTATGCATATTCATATGATGTGAAAAACCCTCTAAAATGCATGATTCTGTTGGATTTCAAATACTGCTGGCATTATGTTATTAGATCAAAGACAAAGTGAAGGAGCGGGAAAATCATGCACATGCAAAGTTAGTGGAAAGTGGACTGACTGGGATGAACCAATTCCCTTTCAAAGTAAGCTTTGTTTAATAAAGTGCAACAGTCAATGGCAGAGGTAAGGACTGTGGTATTGTACCAACTGGAGCTGATCCTGGAGCTGACAGAAGTTTGGATGGCACACATTTGGTACAGTGCAAGCTGAAGTGGTATAATTAAAGTCCTCTTCAGTCTGGGAAGCTCTTATAATTGTTACATTAAAGGATTTGTCTTGGTTTTGAGCCAAGACAAAAACTACTCATCATGCCTCTGTAACTCTTGAACTCTGGGAGAATTAACATAAGCACTGAACACAAAAACAAACCAGCCTTTTCCAAGTCTATTTAGTAAGTTCTTAAGCGCCCAGCTGGTACACAAGCATAAAATACTTTCCTGATCTTGTTTTTAATGCAGACGCTTTTTAAGATAAAAGGTTCTTCTCCATGAGGTGCTTATTGTGTTCTAATTTCTTACCCATGCCAGTTTCTGGGTGTGTTACATGACAGTCTTATCCTCCAGGGCCTCTTGCCTGCCTTCTGAGCATTTCTGTGGCTTTTTTTTAAAGATTGAGGATAATAAGCTACTAAAGGGCTAGTCTGCTATAAAATGCTACAAAATTATCATTTTTTGTAATTCCGATATACCAGATTGTCACTGCATGGTTGTGTAATGGAATATCTAAAAAAGCAGAGAAATGAAAACCTGGGTGCAGGAGGATGAGTAAAAGTGCTGACCTTAATCCTGCAAGAATCCAGAAGCAGAAGCTTTGGTAAAGTGGTGGGTGAAAACCTAATGGAGAGAAGCCAATCATTTTAGCCAGTGGTTGCTTTCATTTGTTTTTTTACAAACATCAAAGTTCAGGCTCAGTGCTGCCAGTTCTTACTTTTGCTACACTAAGTAACTTCACTTGCATGAAATCTTGCATGAAAGTGAAAAATCTTTTGCTGCCCTATGTTCCTATTATCTTATTTATTTTATTTTTAAACAAATGGCAGCATCATTTATAGCTGGCTGTTTTATACAGCAAATAAATAGGGAGATCTCTTGGTTCTCTTTCCAGGTTATGCCGCAGACTTGACTGCTAGGCTTACCCAAGCCTTATCCAATCATAGCCTCTGTGCGCTTGCCAAGTTGTGGAGGATGAAGCAGGACTGCACCTCCGGCTTCACCCACAGCACGGCATACTTTGCCCTTGAGTGCAGAGGGCTGCTTCTGTATGAACGGTTGC